CGCTTTCATTCATCTTTTAAATTTTAGCATCCTTCAATTGTACTATATGTATCCAATATACATTAAAAAAAAAAGTCTGCCAAGTGAGGTCAGTATAGTTTCCTCACCGTTTTCATTTTCTAAAATATTACAAGGAATACAATTTTTCGTATGAGAATAAAATATCTGGGAGAAGTCGATTCGGAAATACAATTACCCTTCAACGATCGCGGGTTTGATATCCACGAATTTTGTTTATCAGCTAATATTAAAATGTGAAAGGGTGAAGATTCCATATTTGATTATCCTTAGTTAAAAATTGCAAACTGAACATGCATTTCACTACTGTTAGTGCAAAAGGTCGGATGTAAAAATTAATTGTTTTACAAGAGGACATAAAAACTCATTATTTCTTTATGCTTTAGATAGATAGAGAGATAGAAAGTAAACTATATTCTGGGACAAGGTCCCTTATGAATAACAGATATGAAAAAGTAAAATAAAAACTACATCTGGCCAAAAATCACATTAGTCAATATTAAAGAATATATAGTATCTTCAGTAAAATGATATAAAACAAGTAAAAATAATACCATTTTGAAAAAAAAATAATAATAAAAAAACATTATCCAAATGAAAAGAGAACAAAATAAAATAAACATTTATTAGTATAGTTTCATATTTTATTGTCAGCTGCTATTTCCCATAGTAGCAGACTACTTATATTAGTTGCAGACTATAAAATGTCATCTTTAGCACAAATAGAATAAAAGTTGAAAATTTTTACATTCGACATTTTGCACTAATAGTAGTGATATGTACTTAATAGGTATGTTTTCACTCGTAAAATGGATGAAACTAGAAAATCCATAGGAAAAATTCAACGTGTTGTTTATTCTGTGTTAACGTGACCAATACTTTCCTTCAGTCAGAACAAAACGCTTTAAGCTACAAAATATGAAATTCACAGGTGAATTCACAAAATATGAGTGAAATTCACAGGCCTTCGATATATAAGGAGGGACCAAGACGAACTGATTGAACTTCAATGGTAATAAACACATTCACAAATAAGACGTTGTTTTTTCTACAAACTCAGAGTTTAAATTATTTTAATTTTATTGAAAATTACACGAAATCTGAGTAACGGCAGTAAATGTCATGCCAGTAACATTTGGAATCATCCAAACAATACAGTATCAATCAATTTTATGAATAAAACCTAAAATTTTATAATCCCATAACAATATTGTAATAACCTTACTCCCAGTACATATGATCAGTGCCTTCAACATTTCGCAGCCATTATATTGTTAACAATTATCTAAAGGGGACCCTACACGGTCAATCGGAATTGCATTAATGACGTTCCGAATTGTCTTGTAAGGTAGTGAATGAAGTACTGATGGTGGTGCGCTGCGGATTTCCGAACATCCGGAGATCAAAGGTTCATTCACGAGAAGTGGAGGAGGGACTGAGGTAAAAGTAGTGGGAGACTAACCATACTGCTGAATAGGTTAGGTTATCTAGGCCTCACAACCATTATAAATTTCTGATTTTCATTATATGTAAATAGTTAAATAATTTTTCATATCCCTTGTTTATAATTTTAAACCATCTTCAACTATTTCTCTTAAATAGTCAAGTGGGCAACAAATTAAAAAAAAATAAAAAAATTAGGAAACTTCACAATTTACTTTAGGAAAAAAAAAACTTTAACGTTGTGTATATTTATCAGTTCTTTTCCCATTTTCTTCAACAAATTTATTATTTTCGCAATACCTTTCCTTAAGTTTTGTAAGTAGTAGACTTATATTTTACTAACTTTTGTCAAAACGATTTTCTATGAGACTAACCTTACTACTAGATAGGTTAGTTTACCTAGGTCTCGTTATTAAATAAATAATTTCATAAAAGTAAATAGTTGTTTATATCCCTAGTCTATATTATTATTAACCATTTTCAACTATTTTTTCTTTAAATAGTCAAGTAGGCAATAAATTGGAGAGAAAAAAAAGTGGAAACTTCACATAAGTAATGATCAGTAATGATTGAACGTGTAAGGGTCTTCATGATCAAAGCGATAGCGGGCAATCTTGGAACTTCTTGTGACGTTCATTCATGAATTACCGTGTAGGGTCTGCTTAAATTAATTTTAATTATTAATTGGAATTCAATAAAATTGATACAAAGTAATTTCTATACTGTTCACTAAATTTCCTCCAAGTTTAGGTCAAATCGAATGCTCCGTTTTCAAACTATAGGCATATCAAATAACAAATTTCCTGATCTGAAAGCGGAAGTTTTTTTTTTTTTTTGCAGTAGTAGATAGGATTTGATAAAATTGATGCCTATTTCATTTTACGTTTACCGATCCCTTAAATTCCCTCAAAATTTGAGCCAAATCGAAATTGTGGTTTTAGACACGTTTGCGCATATTCTATAAACTTGATCCTACATTATTTTTTCACAAATACCTACTATATATTGGCATATCTACAAAAATGCGGTTTCGCGTGCGTAAGAGGAAGTGTTGGTTAGAATTTAATGAAATTGATATGGGACCATCTAGACACCAACCTGCACAATTTCTGAAAATTTTATAAAAATTGGATGAACGGTAGTAGGTGATATGCCCGTCCCATCGATTTGACTAGAAACAGACAGCCACTAAACCGAATTTGATGTAAAACGCGAGTGGAAATTTTCGATTCTGAGTCTAAAAATTGGTTTAACCTCTCGCAAGAATACTGTGCTTCCCTACCTTCGGTAGTGAGGAAGCAATAATTTGCAATATGCACTAGCGGATCCAGAATTTAATTTTGGGGAGGGGGGGGCTTCAGCCCGAAAGCTTTTTTTTTCCATAAAAATGACGATAATTACTTTGGAAAAAAAGAAATAAACTAAATATCTATATGAAATGGTGTTTAAGTGATTCCTTAAGTCCTTTAAAATATAATTACACGAACAATAATACTTTAAGAGATAATTTTTTAATATATTTTTCCATAAAACATGGTTATATTTTACCATTTTGGGGGGGGCTTCAGCCCGAAAGCCCTTCCCCTCCCCCCGTAGATCCGCCTGTGGCAATATGCGCCCAATCGTAATATGTAACCAACAAAGCCCAATGCTATGACTTTAATATCCTTCCACATCCTTATATATCACCCAAATTTCATTGCGAAATCCCTATCTAGTTCCAACCACCCATTCCTACAAACCTCCATCGAAGCTTGAAGCGGCAATTGCCCAGAGACCTGCAGTAGATAATAAGTATACCTGAATTTATTTTGATTAGTTTAGTTTCTACTTGTTTATATAAATTTATTTCTTGCATTATTATTTTGCTGTTTAATTCATTTTTATTTATTACACAGCGTATGGATGCGTTACTCTATCACTATTATTAAAGTCCTTAATTGTGACAAAGTGTAATATTATTCAACAAAGAAATGTGAAAAAAAATAGTTAATACCAATTAAAAAATAAAGTCATTCTCTCCACGCCCTTGGTTCTCCAATACTTGTATTACGTTAAACAGTAAAGAAATAGCCATACTTACAGGAATGAGAATGACGGTCAACGATTGTACAAATCGCGGCATGGCATTAATTAAGAATAACAAAAATGATAGATGCTCGAAATGTAATTCCATCGAAGACACTTTGCACATTATACTAAAATGCAAATATAATAAATTCAGAAATAAATACCCCCTTCAACCGAAAAAATAGCGTTTTTCTACAAAGACGCTATAAGATGATAGGGTTATCATTCATCTCTTGTGAAAATTATAGAAGAATTTAAAATTATTTAAAAAAAAAATGTTCTCGATCGCAATACTTACTCTTACTATAATATTGCATATATACGTAAGTGAAAGTAAAAATATTTTAAAATCGCGATATCTCTACTAATAGTGCTTTGATATCGATGAAACTTCTTTCATTTTTTAGACAATTTAAATACCTTTGAAACATCGTATCAAAACATCCCCAAAAAAGTGTATACTTTTGGAGTTATTCGGAATTTAATTTTACTATCCCTCGTAATTTTTTTTCCAGATTATTTCGTTGAAGTATGTTATATAGATAAATTTAAAGGGTGTCGAGAAAATGGCTTTAACGAAGTTTCATTGAAATCGGTACATTCTTTTAGGCGCTACAGTCGCAGGTTTTTCTGCATTTTTTTTTCTCCTTTATTAACTTATCAAATTCTTTCAAAAGTTATATTTAGCATTTTTTCGTAACTCTGAATAAGGTGAAATGATTAACTTTTTAAAATAAACCATATTTCAAGGTACTTTAGAGGAAGACTTTCATGAACATTGGACATTTAAGTCCTGTAAAGTTACATCAATGGGGATAAAACCTAATTGATATTAAAGACCAATTAATTATACAATGATACACCGAGTTTAATCAAAATCGTTAGAGCCGTTCTTGAGAAAATTATGAAAATGTGTTTCAGCGTTGATATAAAGTGGCACTTCCGGTTAGCCGATTTTAAGGAAAAAGTTGCTGTCACATCTAAGGCATATACCTATCTTAAATACGTAATATCAGTTTCGTAGGACTTTCCGTTTTTGAGCTAGATTGCTAACATACAAACACACAGATACACAGACCATTTTTCGGGCCTTGGTCATTTCGACCCAGGTTGCCTCAAAACGTGTATTTCCGTTGAAAACTCAGATTCAAACATTTTTTTCGAACGCAATACTTACCCTTACTATATATTACATATATATGTAAGTGAAAGTAAAAATTACATTCATACCTTCATTCTTCGATAACATAACAATAGGGGCAGTAAAGGACTTCATGGAAGTCTTGGGCCAACGAATGAAAAAATATATTTTTATAAAATAAAATAAAATCGTTATGATACAAAATAAAATAATCGAATTAATAATCAAATCAATAAAATTGTCGAAGAAATAGGTTTTTTAAAACATCGAGAATTATGAATAATGGCTTCAATACGACACGCTTTGGGTGGGTGTGGTAGGGTGTCATCGCTTATAAGGGGGGAAATGAGACGCAGCCGTCAGTTAGCAGACATGCGCCTCCTCCTTCTGTTCTTGGTCCCCCTTGTTGCAGAGGGCAGCATTCTTGGAGCAATCCATTCGCTCCTGAATTACAACGAAAAGCATGAACCATCGGAAGATTTCCTCTTCGGCGCCATCCTCGCAAAGGGTACGTAAGACATGATGGTTTACCTAAAATGGTATCAATATTCAGTTATAATTTTTTTTAAAACCTTCAACATCGATTGCAATAATAAAAAAAATTTAAACACCAAAATGCGCTTTAAAGTCCGAGCACTCAAGCGACATTTCGCCTACTCGCATATTGCGATTCTACATAAGGTTGAATTAAATTGAAAGTGCCTCAAAACTTTCATGAGCTTGGGTAAAATCGTTAATATGCGAAAAATTGAAATGCCATTAGAGAGCGGATGTTGAAACTCATTTCGGTCCTTAAGTTTTTGATTATTATTAATTTTGACATCTCTCATACAAACGGAATATATAAAGACTTTGTCAAATTGAAAAGGTAACAAGCATTAAAATTCAGAGCGGCAGATACTACGAGTGAAATATGCCTTCGATTCCATGCGCTTTAACAACCGCTTAACCCTATCGCATATTAAGGCTTCTACACGAGATACATAAGAAATTTAAGTCTATTTCAAATTTATTATGATAAATTTCTTCGAGAGATGCATAGATTATGAGTTTTGGGGAAAAACCGGCGAAAACATATATTTCTTGTGAACAAAGCAAACAGTCAATTCTTTAACTCCTCACTCGTTGGTCCTATACCAAAAAACTATGTTCAGAATTGATAGTAAATTTTATCTTCATTGAGTTTATATATAATAATAATTTCGATAAAATGCATAGTTTCCGAATCATGTCCAAATAACTAAAGAAAATTCCGAAATTTCGCTGTTTTTTTTTTTCATACATCTCTAAAATCAATGGAAAATTTCATTCGAGGGCATCATCAAATTCAGATTCAGCATAACTAAAATCAACAAAAATCGAAGAGAAAACGACTATTCGATTTTTTTTATCATTCGACCACCATCCGACTGGCCAAATTTGATGACTTTGACGTCGCTAGTTTTCAAAACACAACCGAGTACATAGTCATTCAAGGTAACCGTCTTTTAGGGACATATTGTTGGCATCATATCAAAATTTCAGCCGTGTGTTCTTTCGTTAAATAAACCTTCAAATTTGGCCTCTTAAATTTAAATTTTCACATAGAAAGAAACGGCTTTCAACCGTTTGACCGAAGTTGTGAGTTCATATGAGGTTTATCTAGAATTTAAAATGGTTACTAGCTACAAGTCCTTTCGTTAATTGAAAGGCCAGTCTCTCCTAGTCTATCAGTATTTATGTTCTCATTTGAGTCAGCTTGTTATTCATAATAGATGTTTTTACGAATCTAAAGCTTGAAGGTGAGAGAAATCAAAATGTTCATATTAAAACTTTAATAAAGATATTTTTATAACATCGGTTATTTCGGTCAATTACGTTTAATTGGCTTACATATTGTGCATTACAATATGTCTACGGGACATTGTGTAAATTTATCTTGATTAATTTATATGTTTTAGGACAACTAAGTGCTACTAAAGTAGTCAACAAAGATATAGCAAATGACATTGAGATCCTAAAAGAAATAATTGACAGGATCTTCGAAAAGAATGGACGATTTTATATCAACAAGGATTCGGGTAAACTTAGTTAATTATTGATTTCCTAGTTCTTCCTAGCTCATTTTTAGAACATATAAACACTTCTATTATTAATTGTTTTATATTATATATTTTATTATGTTATATATTTATAACATAATTATATATTTATTTATTATATATATATTATTTATTTATAACATAGTTATATATTATAACATATATATATATTTATTATATATTGTGTTATGTTATATATTTTATTATTAATTGGACACTACAACTGGGTGACGAGTCCTGGCATCCTCAACCAGCTTCTTCCAATCCCTGTCTTTTACGTCTACCAACTCCATTGCCGAGCATAGTTGGAGCTTCCTTTACCACACCATTAGTCAATCGAGTCTTTGGTCTTCCTCTAGGACTTCTTCGGAAGAACTATTCTGTCAGTAGCTTTCTGGGCATTTCTTTGCCTCCTATTCGTACCAAATGGACAGCCCATCATAGCCTCGTTGAGTGTAGGACTCGAGCTACATCGTGCTCTTTATATCTGTCTAAAAGGTCTTGGTTATTATATATTGAAGAACTTTAATGATTCTTTTACATTTTTATTTAAATAGGAAAGCTGGGAAACCATCTATACCTACCGCTTCCCGATTTTCTAATTTGCTGATGACTTCCTTTATTTCTTCTTCATCTTGAGCTTCGAAGCCTTCATCCGATCCGATTTGATTTATTTTAGGTGCTTCACCTTCTGTCTCTGCCTCTTCGTAGTTGAGAACTTAGGAGAAATGATTTTTTCATATACCGAAATCTTTTCATTTTATTGGTCGAAAAATCTCTTTCCTTGTTCAAGCAGCTTTCTTGGTGTAAACGGGTTTCTACTGGCATTTACTTTTTGGTAGAATTCTCAGAATCGTTTTTCTTCTCTCAACATTTTCATTTGGTTCTTTTCATTCATATCGCCTCTTCTTTCTTGTGAAGAATATATTCCCCTCTTCGTCAAATTCCCCAACTTCGCTCCTTGTTTTTCTCTGAACCATGGATCGGCAGGAGTGGTTTTTGGTTTCTGTTAATATCTGGCATACATTTTCAGCTCTTTCTGGTGATTCTAATACTTTTTTTTTGCAATTTCTTTTATTACATTATAACTGGCTATCCGCATTCAGGTTCGTTTCTGCGATCTCGGTTATATGTAAACATTCATCTAACTCTTCCTGGTAACGTTAATAGGTTTAAAATTCTTTCAACTTCTTAAAGTTGAATCTTCTGGATTTATATCCAGCCATATGCTTCACTGGCAAATTTATCCGAGCTGAGAGTGCGTAATGATCAAGTAATGATCTTAATCAACATTCGCATTCTTATAAGTTCTCATATCTTGCAGAGATGAATAATGGCGACTCCCAATTAGAAAATGATAACTTTTATTTACCATAACCTGATCCGGTAATATCAATCCTTTATGTACATCGTTATGTGGAAATTAAAATTCGACTATCACAGTGTTTTGTGTTGAAGCAAAATTGACCAGTCTCATTCCATTCCCATTTCTTGTATCATCATGGCAATATCTCTCGATTTTTGGTCTACTATTGAGTTGAAATCACCTAAAATGACCATAGTGTCTTAATATTATGCCTAGGACACTGGTTCAAATTTTTATCTACTTGGTACTCTGAGACTCCAGTGGATGCATTAGCACTGAGAATACTATAATTATAAAATCTTCTCCGGAGCTTGATTTAACAAGTGCGAAGGCTATTAGCTTTAAATACGTTTTCTAATTGTCGATCCTTTCCTCTCACTATGAATCGTGATCCAAATTCATAGTATTTTTTGCTGCAGCTATAATACATCGAATGATGTTTCTTTTCGAATTTGTCCTGGCCAATCCAGCGGATTTTTTCGATGGAGCCTATATCTACTTTATACTTGTATTTCTACATTTAGACGAATACAGTAGTATACTATTACCCTTATAAAACTAAATTTAGTCCTTCACCTCCCGCCTCGCCCTAATCAAAATCGATATGTTTTGACAATAGTTTAGGTGATTTATTTCGTAATATCATCATCTCATAACATTACCTGAATTTTTTGTTAACTCATTCAAGACCAATATCATTCTGAAGGCAATTTTTTCTAGTGTTGCTCAAAATCAGAAGATGGTGCTGAGGCTGTCTGCGTGCCCCTGGCTTCAGGTATCAAGGCTAGATTTTAGAAACACTGATATTTAAATATATATACAGGGTGTTCCCGTTCTTTGGACCGGCCAATTCCGAAAGGAAAAGGAGTTAGGTCCGATTTTGTGTTTTTATTGAAAAAGGAGGAATTGTTAAAAAATTGTTCAAGATAATTAAATTAAGTACATCATCGTAAAGTATACACAATGTTTTTTTGAAAAAAACATTGAATACATTTACTAAGATCAATGATAAAAGGTATGTTGAAGAGGTCTAATAACGCAAAGCCTACTTTTTTGTTGGGAATTGTGTCTAGAATGTTCCTCCAGAGTTTGGTAACTAAGAACTGAGACACTCTATATACATATATACCTATAAAGATATTTTTTTTTTAAGTGGGAAGGGTAGAAGAATCAATGAAAATATTGAAGAAAGATGGAGTTGAACGATTGAGAACAGAAGGCGATCTTCCATATGATCTTGAATATAACTTCCAATACGGTACTCCATCCATGTTCAATTCAACAGTTTGTATCACGGAGGCTTTTTTGGCAAACAAAATAACGGACTTTTGCCTGAGCCAAATGACTGATGAAAGTGCCAGGGGCTATACCTTGAGCCACCAAGTTCTATATTTCTCCTTAGCAGCATCGGTGAGTAGATCAATGATACATGATTAATGGTGTAAGCATTATTTTTTTTTCGATTTCACCTGCCTCGCGATTTCTGGCATACGGTTGTACTAGAGATACGACCAAACTTATTCTTAGTAGAGTGAGAAGGTCGAGATTCATTCCGTGGATTCGCCACGAAATAAATTACAACCCTGTTAGGACGGAATCGGACCTGCGCACACTGGTGCGAGCTAGTGCTGCTCGCACAAAAAAAAAAAAAAACAGTTACAATTTGGAAGTTTTACTGCATTAGTGACAAACTAATATGTTTCCTGTTCGGAATTTTTTAACTTAAAAATCGCATTAATAATACCCTTGTGTGAAATAATAGGAGAAGTGAAAACCATCTTTTTTATAGTTAGAGCTAGTTTGTAGGTTTAAAATTTTTATAGCGTATTCAAGTTACTATTGACCCAGTTTTGATTAAATAACATCTAATTGTCTATACTGGCTAAATTATAAACATACCACGAATTTACTAGGCTTTAAGAAATAAAGGAAAATAAAAAAAAAATTTCTTATTATTACATACATGTAACTTGTATATAATTGAGTAAGTAACTATATCACTAGACAGATTTAAAATTTCTAGTTCACTCAATTAAAATTAAGGCGCATACCTATTTTGGTCTCATCTCGTAGTTAATTTAATCTATTTTAATGATGAATAGAATGTTTTTATTGGCGAAAACGGGCCTTTTCATGGTCAAAATCGATAAAAGTCCAAAAATATTATGCAGCTATATAGCTAAAATAAAAATATAGATTTAGGAGATATTCAAAACTTATCCGGGGAGGGATAGGGCTGCTTAGGTAAAAAACATCCTATACAAGAAAAAAAAAAACCAAACCTTCTACCAATACTTGATGCAACTTAAAATGTACTAGGTTACTTGACAGGTTTGCTGAAACTCACATGTAACGATGGCGGAAATAGAAAATATATTTGGAGCCAATCGTTAAAATTAATCATTTGGGCCAATCAGGAAGGGCCAATCATTGAAAATCATTGGGGTTAAGTTTTTAAGTGAGCACACCTGACAAGAATTCGTTTTTTTTAATTGTTTTTCAACTGGGTCACGAGTTCGCGTCCCGGTGTCGTGGAGTCTTTTAAATCCCCGCCCACACCCCCTGGCCCGGAAAAACACCGTTTCGCCTTAAAGGCGAGGAAGGGGAGGACTCCCCTCCCCCAAAAAAAAAAAAAACTCGGCAATGAAATATTGTTTTACTTACAAACTCATTCAAATTAAAAATAAACAGATTTAGTTCTCTTGAAATCGCTTAAGTCACTTTGAATTATATAAGTGCATTCTAAACTTCAGTAATCAGATTTTCTTGGCTGTAATCCTTTTAAAAATATTATATTCGTTTATTAATATAAAAATACATACTTTATGATATAAAATTACTGTCAATTGTTATTAATTTCTTAAAGCAGGTCCATTAATAAATATACTTAAAATACTTTTATTTTTAGATGTCACCATTACCTTTCACAAGAGATTTATTAGATAAAAGATGTGCAAGAGTTCTAACTGAAGTTACTTCGGCATTAAGGAATGGACTGCCTGTGAAATTTCGGGACCTATTCGTTGAAGAAGGTATGAGGAAAAATAATAATGACTATATGTATAAAATATTTGTTTGGCCTATTGGGGATCCAGGATGATGTAAATAAAACAAATATAAATTTACATGAACTTGTTAATTAATTAGCTAAAACGAACATTGCAGTTGCTGTTTGTGGATTGAGTAACTACTCAGAGTTTTTAACAAAGCCAGTGCTGGATTTCATATTGAGTCTACAACATCCAAATGGGTGCTTTTCATTGGCAGGTCCACTGTAAGTAAATTTAACTTAATTTTTAAATATTACGATAGCATAATAATGCATATTTGAAAAAAAAAAAATAAGTTTTTGAATCCCTTTTATATGACCAATGTATTTTCAACCATGATGACAGATTCTAATGGTTACAGTATCTATATATATATATATATATACAGTAACCATATATATGGTTATATATAGTGTATATATATATATATATATATACAGGAGAAAGAAGAAAAGTAAGAAGAAACGTCCTCTGATTACAAACTGATCAAGCTATGCTGCAAGCTATGCTGCAAGCTATGCTGCAAGCTATGCTGGGCAAATACACAGCTGCCAGGAAAAGGGCAAACAAAATGACAAGAACAGCCGAAAGAGAATTCCTTAAAGAAGGATTACAAAATATTGAAGGAAACTGGCAGACTGTAAATATATGCGAATTCTTCGCAGATATCAGGAAAGAAAGGTTAGGATATAAAGCGAGAAATACACAAATGTGAGGAAAAGAAATTCACGGCATCAAAAGAAAAGATTCTAAGCATCTGGAAGGAACACTTCCAGCAGCTGCTTAATCAAGGGCACCCCACAAACGAAGAAGACGTGGACCAAACTGAGGACATCGACCCACTTGAGGTTGAAAAACCAGATATTCTGGATGTGGGAATAGCTATCGGCAGGCTTAAAAGAAGAAAGGCTCCAGGAATAGACAACCTACCATCAGAATTCTTCAAGGATGGGGAAGAACACCTCAAAGCAAAGCTATTAGAACTAATCCAAATAATGTGGGAGAAGGAACGTATACCAGAAGCATAGAACACAGGGTTGATCTGTCCTATCCTTAAGAAGGGCTCCATGTATGAATGTGGCAATTACAGAGGTATAGTAAAGGTATAGTACAGAAGTAATGTGGCAATTACTTCTTCCGGTCGCCTTTAAAATAATGACTAATATTCTGTTAAATCGTATATAGCCGTATTATGAAAACATGGAGTACACTAGATCAGATATTCATCCTAAAACAAGTACTTAAAAACAAGGAAGAAAAAAAAGGAAAAAAAAGGAAGTAGATCAGGACGTACACGCATTATTAGTCGACTTTAAATCAACCTATGACTCCGTTGACTGAAACTGTCTCTGGAAGATCATGACTGAGCTGGGTATTCCCGGGAAATTAGAGAGGTTAACGAAGGTGTGTAAAAATGATCCTAAATGCAGAATACTAATACATGGAGAAGTATCTGATGCCTTTGAAGTTCGAACGGGTTTGAGGCAGGTAGATGGACTCTCGCCGATGCTGTTCAACTTAGCACTAGGAAAAGTAATAAGAATAACATCACGCGAAGATGGAGGGGTGAAAACATAAAATCCTAGCATATGCCGATGATATAGCTGTCCTTGGAAGTAATCAAGAGGATATTGAGAGACTCGCTCGGACTCTATTAGAAGAAGCAGAGCAAATCGGACTACAGGTCAATGTAGATAAAACAAAATACATGATACGTTAGCCGAAACATTCACCCTATAACATGATCTGCGTTGACTATAAGTCATTCCCGAAAGTAGACAGATTCAAATATCTCGGCTCCACAATAACCTGAATACATGATCGACTAATGTAGCTCGTAGTAATCCATCAGGACGCCTCTACACGACAATGAATGCAGTAGTAGCCATGAGACCACGTGGGAGGCCAAAAACCAGATGGATAGATAGGATACGGCTGAGCTTCATGTAGAGCCAACCGGAAAAAAAAAAAAAAATATATATAAATATATATTTATGTATATATATATATATATATATATATATATATATATATATATATATATATATATATATATATTTATATGTATATATATTTCAATTGTGTGATATTATATTTTTCTGCCTAACATAAAGTGGAAAAATATGTGAATTGGTAGAGCGTTGATTGGTTACAAGGTCTGTAGAGCCAATCAAAAAAAAAAGAAAAAATACCTGTATATATATATATATATATATATATATATATATATATGTATATATATATATATATATATGTATATATATATGTGTGTGTGTATATATGTATATATATATGTATTATATTATATTATAAACTTAAGGTGTAACATTTAAGAATCAGGAAACCTAAAGGGCTCAATCTACACCTCAACATTAAAATATTTCCAACTCATTCAAAACCGATCTTACTCAAAATTTTTTGCTTTAATTTTTATTTTTGTATACGTATTTATTAATTAATTTTTACATGATCTGTTAGTTTTAACACATAACTTTGAAAATAAAACAGAAAACTTAAAGCTTTTTTTAAGTATCTCATATAAGAGTCCACAAAAAACAGTAAATCGAAAAATTGTTCATTTTGAGTTTGTGAACTTCTGTAATGACCTGACGATATGATTAAAAACAAATATTTTTCAATACGTTCAAATACATTTTAATTTAAGCACCCGCCAATTCCATTTTGTGGAAGAAAGAGTTTTCTGGAATAATAGTGTATATAATTTTAGTTTTACAAAACTTCTTTATTGTAATCAAGTTACTTTTTTTTTCCAGGGACAAATGTAATGAGCACTTATCAGCAGTATCTATGTTAGCTTTGACAAATTTTTTGTATGCTCACAGTCAAGGGAAACCGTTTCCATTTGATAGTTAAAATTGACAGTAATAATAAAATACAAATGCAATCATTAGAAAAAATATAAGTTAACAACTTGACTATTTTTATTTTTATTTATTCCCTTTACCAATTCCTATTTTATTAAGCACTGAAGAAATAGAGGATCATTAAGCATTGAGCAGTAGGTTTGCAGTCTTAATAAGGCATTTGGTGGCGTAATCGTTTTTTTTAGATATAGAAACATTTGAATTATTTTGTCACATATATCTATTCTCAGGTAAAATCTTTCTCTTGATAATATGGTGGGATAAGGTATCTTAAATCTAACTTTCATACAGCGATACTATCTATGTGTCATTATTTTCAAAGTATTTGGAACCAAAATGCTTTTCTACTTGCTTGCCTTAATCTCAAAATCACTCTCTGCTCATGATAATTCCCTTTGGAATATCACCAGAAAAATCCTCAAATCCCATCATATTTCCCACCCTCTTCGACGAGATGATGGCTCCTGGGCAGCATCTGATGAAGATAAAGCCGAGGAATTTGCCAAACACCTTTCCTATACTTTCGCTCCTCATCCAGAATCCCATCCCAGCCACACAGTAAAAGTAGAAGAATTCCTCTCAATACCTATCCCACTCTCCTTACCACCTAAAGCTGTTAATCCCTCTGAGGTCAAATACCTGTTACGGAAAATTACACCTCGCAAATCTCCTGGATATGACCTTCTAATCCCACAGATCCTTCGACAACTTCCATCTAAAGCCATCATATTTCTTACACATATATACAATTGCATCCTACGAACTACCCACTTCCCTCTTTTATGGAAACATTCCACCATCGTCCTCTTCTTGAAACCAGGCAAACCTTCCAACAATACAGCATCCTATAGACCAATTAGCCTACTCCCAATCCTCTCAAAAATTTTTGAAAAGATCCTACTGAAACGAATCCTACCTATAATTGAATCCTATAACCTTCCTACTCATCAATTCGGATTTCGTTCCCAACATTCCACTGTCCAGCAAGGACTCCGAGTTGTTGACCATATATCCTCAACCCTAGAAAGCAAGCAGTATTGCTCGGGTGCATTTTTGGACATAGCGCAATCTTTTGACCGGGTATGGCACGCCGGATTACTCTTCAAGCTTAAAATCCATCTACCACAGTCCTTATACCTAGTACTCCGATCCTATCTTTCCGACCGCTCCTTCCGAGTTCGCTGTGGCACCGAATTCTCCGACTGTTACTCAATTGAGGCTGGCGTTCCTCAAGGCAGCGTCTTGGGTCCCATCCTTTACATTCTCTTTACCGCTGATATTCCTGTCCATCCCGATACCCTCCTGGCAACTTTCGCTGATGACACTGCTATCCTTTCTTCCAACTCAGATCCTGAAACAGCGTCCGCTAACTTACAAAGGCACCTCTTCCTGATTGAACACTGGTGTAAGAAATGGCGCATTAAGGTAAACGAATCTAAATGTAAACACATTACCTTCACCCTTCGGCGTAATACCTGCCCACCAGTTTATTTTAACTCCATCCAGCTTCCTTTCTCAGATACAGTCCGGTATCTTGGCTTTCTCTTAGACAGACGACTAACATGGAATCCACATACTCGACTTAAAAGACAGGAACTTAACAGACGATATGGCCAGCTATATAGACTACTGAATAGAAAATCTAAACTTTCTGGTGAAAACAAATTACTGATCTACAAGACAATACTGAAACCCATCTGGTCTTACGGACTTGAACTATGGGGAACAGCCAAATTTTCTAACATCAAACGCATTCAATCCTTTCAGTCTGAAGTCCTCCGTACAATAGTCAATGATCCCTTCTATGTAACCAATAAAACCCTACATCATGACCTTAATATCCCATTTATTCTTGATCTTATCCCAGCCAAATTTTCCAAATTTCACCAGAACCTTTCTCATCACCCAAATCCCGTTGTACAATCCCTATCAAGCACCACCCATCCCTACAATCCCCTTCGTAGGTTAAAGCGGCAGTGGCCACGAGACCTTTTGTAAATATGGATATTTTGGAGTTCTAGCAATGGCCAGATTCTCCACTCAAGTCATGAGTGTCTGTGGCTGTAGCGCTCTTACTCATCCTCCGCTGGTTTAAAATACCAGTGAAGTGGCTGAGGGAGAAGCGTAGGGATCTCCTAAGCCTCCCTTTTCCCTCCACATGTGGAGGGGACAGGATTGGTTCGGAGATCACCTGGCAAATTGTAAATAATGTATGTTTTATATAAGGTGTTTGTTTTACTTTTATTTCTATTTTTATTTACTTATGTGTATATATATTTTTTTTTCTTTACTCTTTTGTTCTTTCTTCTTATTCTTTTGTTATTACTTTATTTATTTATATTTTTGTATATACGGTATGAATGCAATCTCTGAACTCTATTATAAGTGTCCTTAACTGTGACAAATTGTAATATTTCTGAATAAAGCGTTTTTTAATAATAAAAAAAAAAATCTCAAAATACGTTTTCTTAATTTACTCCACAAATAAAACATCGCTTTATGTATTAGTATGTTATTGTTACATGGTGGTTCCCTTCAGCAAATCCTGCATTATTCCTGCTACCTCTTTCTGTAAGAAGTTCTGTATCATTTATGTTTGTGAATTCTCCTTTGGCTTTGTAGTAAGTACCAAGAATTTCTAACAAAGCCAATGCTTGATTTAATATTGAGTTTACAACTTGAAGAAGGTTGTTTTTCACTGTCAAAACAAGGTTCACTGTAAGTAAATTTTTATTGACTATTTAATCTTAAGGTTAAACATATATATATATATATATATATATATATATATATGTTTAACGTACGTGCATGCGTGAGTGCGTGCGTGCGTTCGTGTGTGTGTGAAGAAACTAACTAACTAGCTGTATGAAATGGTGTTTTAGTGATTCCTAAAGCCCTTTTAAACGTAATTACACGAAGAACAATACTTTGAAAGATAATTTTTTAATATTTTTTTCGATAAAATATGGTTATATTTTCCCATTATGGGGGGAGGGGGGACTTCAGCCCGAAAGCCCCTCCCCTTAGATCCACCCGTGTTAGGAGGTAAAGAAAAGATGAAAATATTAAAATTGATTACCTATTTTCTTTCCCTAAAACCCTCAACACGATTAAATTAAAATGAATAATTTATGTTCAAATAATTGCTTAGTTAAGAAAACAGTAATACAATTTTGGGGAAGCAGCATTGTGAAATAATATTGTATTTTATTTTAATTTTTCCAATATTTTACATCCTTATGTCATGAAACACTGATTAAGTAATTAAACATTCTTATACTTAATTTTTTTTTTCTAGGAATCAATGTAATACACACTTGTCAGCAGTATCACTGTTTGCTTTAACAAATTTTCTTTCTGTATGCAAAAAGTGAAAGCCAGCAGAATATTTTGTGATATTTATTTAATTTAATTTAATTAATTACATTAATTTAATTTAGTTTATTGTATTATAGTTTAATAAATTAATTTATATGAATGTTTGAGTGAAATAAAATAAGAAATGTTTTGTTTATTGTATTACTTTGATAAGAAGTGTTAAAACAATACCTTGATTACAAAAATTGAAAAATAAACGACATGAATATTTGAGTTTTTATTTATACATCTCAAAATTCCTTTTTTTATTCAGCACTGGAGGAACAGAGACTAATTCCAGAACGGACAGTAGCGCTGTAATGCGGGATAATCTCCACTTGTTGGTAAAGGATCCTGGAATGCTATGAACGTTCGCGCGAATGTAGGTTCAGGGCATCGTGTTGCGGTATTGCGAATTAACAATAGTAATTCACAACAGTAAAGACTTCGAAATTTACTTTTATTGTAAAATATAAAGTTACATTGACATAAGGCTATTGATACATCTTACAAACTATCCTTGTGAGGCCTAAACTAATGTTACATGTCTTGATTCTAAACTCGGAATTGTCTGCAGGATATGTTGGAGCTCAATATATAGGAAATGATAAAGGAGGGGATGGCTATTATTTAACTATTCCCCTGGGAAAGTTGTTCTTTTTTTATGTTTAAAGTAATAAAGCACTAAGCATGTGCTAACTATAAACTTTTGGGACAAATGAGGGCCTCTCGATGAGGGCCTATAGTTTTCGGCTCAAGATACAACAAAAGCAGGTAGGTATCTTTTCTCGGACACTATGGGCAATCATTTTGTAGCCATAAAGTTGTAGGAGTACTGTTAGCATCTCCTAGAGAATGACAGCATAGATCTATCAATGGTTAAAGCAGGTCAATTCTAGGTACATCGCTTGACTCTGGGAAGCAATAACTGTTGCCATATGCCGCACATCTCTTTGAGACAAAGGAATTAACAATATTAGCGAAGACAAAATAGTAATAATAACTATAGCTATTTAACTTGCGAATGTTCATCTACAGCCCCGATCTGCACTAAACATTCAGGGCATTTAGTTCACTTTAAGGCCCAATGACGAACATTCGCGTTAACAGCATGTCCTAGCAGGTGTTGATCTTTTGACGGACATCAAAGCGATTCAAGGAATCGAAATTTGGCGAGTATATCTATGTTTTGTATGACCGTATAAGGCATCAAAATGTATATTTTTAAATTAATTTTTAATATTTTTATTTCATTTATCGTTTCTGATGGTGTAGAATAATTAATAAACTCACTTTGTTTTTGTTCTATTTAATACTCATTAAGTTTTAATAAGACTAAAGTTCATTTAGTATGAATTAATTAATTAAATACTAGATTTTATTTAACTTGACAAGAGAACCATAGCTATTTGTTTCTTTTTATCACTGAATACTAAAATATTGAAAATATTTATAAATATTCATTGGTTTCTCAAATAATTACACTGTAAAAGAAGATACAGTAAACGCAAAATAAATATTTCCAATTAATGAATGGTATATTAGTAGATAAAAACACCTTTAGAAAAGTACGAAAAATCTTAGACTTGAGTAAGCAAATGTAATATTTAAAAGATACGTAAAATAATAAATAAATCTTGAATTTGATATCGGGTATATGTTTAACAAATTAACCAAATAGTATGAAAA